GCTCCTAGAGATGTACAAACCCAAACAATTTCTAAAGATGGGTGGGTGCAGACCCCTATAGCTTCTACAAATGGCTGGGCACAGGCCCCGAGAGTTTCTACAAATGGCTGGGCACAGGCTCCTACAGCTTCTACAAATGGCTGGGCACATGCACCATCAGCCCCTCGAGATGGATGGGAACAGGCCCCCGCAGTCCCTCGAGATGGCTGGACACAGGCCATTCTTGCATCTCCTATGGGTGGTTGGACTCCAAATGCCAGCCCACAGCCGTCGCACGCGTCTGGTCCAACAGTAACTCCTGTACATGTTTCGGCGCCCGCTGCTACTCCTCGGGTACACGAAATCCATGCAAACTCTGGTAAGCAGCAGATTCGAATCGAGGAATACAGTCGGCCGGCACAAATTATTCGCGTGCACGAGGCTCCTCAGGGTCTTCCCGAGATCGTTAAGGTGCATGCTCCTGCTGAGAAAGCCGCGCTAATCCGAGTTATATCGAAGAATGCTGGACCTGCTCATGTCGAGCGGGTTGTGCATCGCGCACCTGGCCCTCAGATTATTAATGTACATAAACCTGCTCCTGCTCCAGCTCGCATTGTGCAAGTCGTTCGTGGTCCAGCCCCAGCGCCTCATGTGGAATTTCACTATGAGGACTCGCCTGCACATGAGGTTCACGTTGCCTCAACCCCAGCTGAAGAGCCACTTCAGGCCCCTGTTCCTGTGCCAGCGTTTGTTCCTGCTCCGCAAACGATTGCTTTGCCTGCTCCGGCTCTAGCAGATTCAGGACCTGTTGAAGTGTCCTCGCACATCATACCTGCCCGTGCTAAGACCCATGGGCCTCATACTGTTCAGACTCGTTACGTTGAGCCGTCCCATACCCACACACCGCCATCAACTGCCACTGTGAATGCGCACCCCACTGACTTCAGGAACTTACCACATGGATCGTCCTACAAGGCTCCTCGAGACCCTTTGCTGTCATCACTAAAATTTGGATCTGCGCCTTCCATCAACCATGCACCTGTCCCTCATCCCAAGCCCATTGGAACTGTATATGACGCCGGAGATCACATCAAAATTATTAAAAAATCTCACCATTAACATCAATATCGATTACGAACCAAAGATAATGAAACGATCGTTAAGCACATGGAACGCAGGGTCGAATCCTAATTATTCGGGGCAACACGGAGAGGGAATTAGAAATTTGCAACTGATATTTTGCACATAGTATATATCTTGTAAAAATTAAAGATTTCACTTTATTATTACGTAGGGCTCCAAGGAACATTTCGTCGGTTTTTACGGAACTGTGCAAATAAATTGATGGCAAATTAAATCATTCTGGTTCGTTAGCTGTATATATTAGAAGCAGTGAAGAAGGTGACGTCTCCGCGCAAGACACTGAACTGACATTTTTCTTCCGCTGCTCTCTACCTGTAGAAATCAATAGACTCTACTTTGAAGAGCGAATTGAAAACACATAATTTAGAATGGATAGTTTATTGGTTCCCCGCGATGATGGGCTGAGGAAGTATTTATCTATTGAGCTTGGCGGTCTGTGAATTCAGGGTCAGAATCCTGAAGTGAACCTGCTTTCTTTCGTTCTGAAGGTCAGCCGTCAGCTGCGATCATTTACGGCAACGCGAGCTCATAGTCAGGCATACTTCATGAGCGTAAACTTTATATACATAAATATTGACTGTGTACCCAACGAAGGCACCATCAGCAACATAGCCTCGTGTTGTTCACGGAATACTTTGGGAACTGGCATCTGCAATTGTGACTCGGGTGGCAAAAGGGGCAACGAAATAAAGTTCATTGGCGTTGATTTTACGGGCTGCACGCTATTCAGTCGTTCAAAGTTGAAGAAGGTTACTGGAATTTGTCTCCAAGCAAATATTTATAATGATCCTGGTGTTGCGTCTAAGAATTTTCCCTTATCTGAAATTTGAAATCGTACAGTACTTTTGAATATATATATATATATATATATATATGTACAGCAAATTGGTCTTTCGAATATGTGCAAAAGTAAGCTACTGTCTAATGTCTTCGCGCCGTGCTGACCTTTAGCAAATTTGCAAGCCTCCTTAATTGCGAAAAATCGATGGTTTGCGTTGTTGCCAGTGTCCGTGAGGCTTCCTATGAATTTGGAGAATATTCCCGTGGAGCAAAACGAAAGGCCCACAACAGGCACTAAATTAGGAGGCTCGGAAATTTATAAAAACGGCGCAAGACCCGTTTTCTGGTAATTCCGTAGAGAAATTTTGTGGCTCCGTTTAGAGAAGAGAGTATTTATCGTTACTTGGCTTGTTTAGTTAAGCTCTAAGAGTTCATTTTTTTGTTAGACGCATTGCCCAGCTCTTTTTGCTTTTTTAACTTTTGGCCCTTCAGTGTTTTGTGTTTCGCATTGTTGAATAAAACTTCAATGGATCTAAGCGTATTAATCTCGTTTTAACTACAATTTTCGAAGCTGAAGTCCTCTTCCATTATTAATACAGTAGTATAATGGCACAGGATATGTCTAAAATAAAAAAGGTTATAAAAATATAAATAAAATATAAAATATAAAATAAAAAGGTTATAAAAATATAAATATAAAAATACTAAAGGTTAGTTAAGCTTCCAGGCGACTGAGAGTTGCTTTAGTGCTTCAAAAAATGCAGAACCAAAGGACTAGAACGAAAGTTTCAGTGGCTTCTTAGAGGAGCGAAAGTATCCTGCGAAAGACTGTTCATTAGAAGAGAACGGATCGTCATAACGCTTCTCCTACGGCTCCAAGAGTAACAACAAGACGTTTGAGGAGCTTGTATATGCTAAGCTACGCTTGGGTACGTTTTCATTGGAAATATCCAAGAAACAGCAAGGTCGACATCTTCTGTAAAGTTTATAACTTCGGCTAAGGAACATTTTTATTTCGAATTTGAGTGATTCGGGTATACGTGCTGGAAAAAGACAACAGTTTTAATTTATGGAGTATAGTGTAACAACAACCGTAATGTTGGCACCATCAATCTTGAACGTGTAACTCCGGCCAAAAAACGAATACGCAAGCCTACGTGCTTTTTTCAGTTCTCAGGAACGATGCCCCCCCCCCCTCTTCATCAGTTTTAGCAAACTAATTTTCCACTACTACGTGACGACCAGTAATAAGTGTGCTGAAGTAAGTCGAACCACCAATCCATCTATTTATTCATCTAGGCACGAATATTCTCTGGCTTAATCTGCCGGAACATTAGTAAATCGGAATTCTTACCTATGTAGTTGCTAAAGTGCGGGAGTTAAGGGGGGCGTCCGTCAACCATTCTGAAGGTTTGTGGCAGTGGTTCAGACAAACTCACTTAGGCCACGACGTCCGCAAGAGCACCTTTGAATTATTCGCAGAAAAGGCCCAGAACTCATCGTCGTAAAATCGAGACAGCCCTACGTGGTTTCAAAAAGTGAATACAAGAGGGTTGGTTAGAGTATACCGAAGGATACCCTGAATCCTCCAGGGATATCCGGGAAAGATCAAAGTGACCGAGTTGTTTACCTTATTTCCATTTCGACGTTTTTAAACAAACAGGACAAACGTTAGTCACAAATATGTAATATCTTTGGAAATAAACTAGGGAATTACGGAGACTAGCGTAGGAATGAAATTCTAAAAATCGCATGAACAATCACTGCCCGCTGTGTATGAGCTACTTTGGTGAACGCTTGAAGTTGCCAGTAGTTATTAAATTAGTTCACGTATTAAACACATTATTTGAGTGTATAAAAATATTTTTTCTACTACTAAATTCGCAGTGCATGAACACGTAGAATGCGGGAATCACATTTATCATACAACATATGTTAGTCGTTCAAGATCGCCATACTCAGTTCGATTTTGTCCATTTCGAAGTAAACGCCTTCACTCACATGAGGCTTGATATTTAGGAAATATATTTCCATTGTTTTTTTAAACTTAATATTATAAAGTAATTAACGTTTCTTTCGTGCCCTGTTTGCTTACATACTTATTGAGACGCTACACAGATATTTCTACCGTATGACATTCGCCTTGACTCAATCAGATTACTGTTTCATGCGACATATTAGGATATCGATGTGTGGTAAAAAATCTCAGCCTTTATTTACTTAAAATTTCCATCTTATCGCCAAACAGTCAGACATATACATTTAGGATAAATTGGATTTCTATGATTCAACGATTTGCCGAGTACGGGAGTTTTCAAAAGCTTTTCATTTTTAGCTAAAGTAAGCCACTGAGGGTATCACATGCACGAAAAGCGTATACCGATACATAGATATAATTTTAAGTTCCCGTAATCATTCTATTGCTAAAAGCATGCAATAATCATCTCAGTGTATGCACGAAAAATAGTTTCTATCCCGTTCGATAAATCAGGTTAAAATGGCTTTGTTAATTTTGACACTGCTTTGGCACTTAACACCAGTGTACTCACTAGGTTTCAGGTTTGCATTTAACGTCGTTATGCAAATAAATTAAAATCGGTTGGTAGTAAACTATTATTTCTCTTCTGAATGAAAACCTGAGGCTCGTTCTCAAGACTGGGGTTAGCATTTTTTGTTTGTTTGTAAGGGACTGTCATAGAGAGCAGTTGTCCTTTATCGACTTCGTTGAGCTCACACTTAAAGACCTGTTCAACGTATACACCTGTAGAAATGTCAGAACGAATCAAGCTGAAATCACAGTGTAAATATGCAGTGATTCAAGCAAAAATCATTCAAAGAATGAGACCTTGACGAAAATCGAACTTGTAATAGGTTGAGTTCGATTGTTAAATTGAGTTCGATCGACTGTCTCACGTACGCTCGCTGTTAAAAGGTGCTTAAGTTTTGGTTACTTTATTTGGAGATCGTTTGTCGCCTTGCACGTACTTGAGCCTACATAAGTCACTGTTATTTATGTGCGTTTATACAATGTGGAATCCGATCAAAGTAAGGAATATTGGTTTCCTTAAAAAAAAAGTAAAATTAATTCTTTCACAGATCTCAAACAATACGTCATTCGAACTGACACTCCGTTTAGGTGATGTCAACGTTTTTGAGAAGGAAACTGTGCAACTGTAAATTGCATACATGTTTGATGCATCCCACAATCGCCTCTGTAAATAGACTCGAAACTATTTTTTGTAGACACTGGTACCTTAGTTGAGGAGCTGCGCACTCTTAATGGAAGCGTGCGATGTGTTAAGGAATAAATAAATACTTAACAATTCCTTTGTAATTTGCCAACTCGTAATTAACATTATTACTATCATATTTTACCTTACACGGCCTGACCAAAAGATACCTAAAATTCATTTTAAGTTAGGCAAGAACCTACATGTTTCAAAACAACAGGTTTCAAAGGTTGCCGTCAGAAAGCAAACAGAAATGCTGAGGTTTATTTTTGTTTGTTGTAATTGAAGAGTCTTCTCTTGTTCTTCCTATAATATTTATCAGAAATAGCGCCTTAATGGAATCATGGTATCACTCAGTATTTTAGTGGCACCTATAACATATGCGTGACAAGACGGCCTAAACATGAGGATCACCATTTAGCGAATCACTTGCACTTGGAATTTCGCCCGCACCCCTCAAAGTTTAAAACGAGTTTAATATAAGCGATTACCATCGATTGCAAAATGTTGGCTGCTTCCCCAAATTAAGTGGCAGAAAAATGCATCCAACGTCAGTCAAAACCAAAAGGCAATGGCGACCTCAAGCTTCAATGTATATTAAGTGATAGCTCCGGCCAACTTTTTTTTTTTTTTTTTTTTATATAAACGTGTGTTTTTAGTATTATATATACAAAAGAATTTTCATTCGATGCATTGACCTGCACAAATAAGCTTCCTTGATTATTTCAACATGGCATAATTCTAGACCACTGTACCCCATTTCATTTCGGGTAATACGTTGAGAAATTAAGTATTACAATTTACTCGGATTGGAATAGTTTTAACAATTGTACTCAAGGCACCACTGAACTCGAATTTGTCATAAGGAACCGTTTTTTGCTGTGCCGAATAATGGACATCTCCATACGGCGTTTGCTGCTCAATCGTTATAGTTGTAATGTTACGCAGCGGAACTTTCCATATCGTGTCACTGTAGCATTTTTCGTGTTTGAGATAATTATGCAAAATATATACATGGATCAAACTATTCTTAATAGATCAGCGGCGACCATCAGGAGGCCCTGGAGGCATTCCCCCTATAGGGTGTCCTCCTGCCCCTGGAGGGGTCCCGATATTAGAGGTAGTCCTTTCCAGATAAGCTAAGGGTCCTCCGCCGAACGGTTGGCTCGCCCCGCCCATCATGCCGCCCGAACCAACCTGTAAACGGGCCGTGAGGTATGACTTGAGTAAATTTACTGACGCAGAACGGAAAGCACAAGATATATAAATATGCGGAAAATCTAATGAGCTAGTATCATAAGAGATAACAAAACCTACCGCGCGAGCTGGTATTCAAAACTTTATATTATTGCTTTATGGAAAACCGAGCTAAATGTATTGAAAGCACTCATAAACATCAAATGCAAGCGAAAAATAATAGCCTTCTAAGCAAAGGTTTAAAACTGGCGCGATGTACTCGAAACTACTTAGATTTGTTTTCGAAAATAAACGTGCTTATATCGTTGATCGCAGTCATGATTTAAGGATTTGTAACTCCCTTATCGGATAAGATCGATGTGTGCTCTGCGACACTTGGTCGCATTTTGAAAAAGCAATGCAAATATTTTTACAAACAAAAATCGAACAGGCTGATTTCAAAAGCTCTTACTCGATAATCCCCATTGCATGATGCATTATAAGGCGACTATACGAGAGCAGCGGACCATTCGTAGGTGAGCCGGCGTTGTCAATTCGGCCTTTGGCTTTCTGTCAACACGTTGCATTCACCAATTGTTTCTCACCATTTGCTGAGGTGGCATTCCGCCGAGTTGAGGTACACCCATCATCTGATTGCCCCCACCCATCATTTGAGCGCCTCCTGGAACTCCTCCTACAATAAATAAAGCCCAAATTACGAAAACGAATATCGACCGCTCGAACTCAAGCGTGTACTTATAAAAAGGCCGCGGTCCAGACAACTCAAAAAAAGCTAAGATATTTAAAGCATTTTTCGAGATTGATTATTCTTTTAATAGTTATTGTGCCTATTAAACTTTTTTCTTTGAATAACATTTATAATTTGTTTTTTTCCAGATAAACGTACCCATCGGTCCTTGGGGGGCCGGTGTCCCTTGAGCCCCTCCTCGCTGTCCGGCAGGATTACCTCCACCACTGCCAAGACCGGCGTCGTTTACTAGCCGTTGCCAATCGGTCAACTTTGCATGATATTTCTCGATAAGCTGTTCTTTCCGTGCTAGTTCATTCTTGAGCTCCATATTGTCCTAAAAAGTAACAAGGAAACACACGAAAAAACCCTACATGCTGAAACATGCTAACTGGTTTATGTACTATGAATGCGGTCATATGCCATGATGAATGTCGAAAAGATACCGATCGTTTAATTTTGTGGCGCAAAGCCTACTTCACGAGGGGTGTACTTTAAAAGGTGTTCGTTATTTCCTTATTATTATTATTATTTTCCTTATTATTATTAGCTTCCTCGTTATCTTTTTAAGTCAATCTATTTAAAGCGATCATTGGAACAAAAAAAAACACTGTAAATACATATACCTCCATAATGAATTGCACAGCTTTTTGAGGAGATACTACTAAGCGCTTCTGCAGGAAGAAGCATTCCATCTGACGCGCAGAGTCGAGAAATTTCTGGACCGTTTGCTCCACGCCAGCCTACAGAAAAAATTAATTAGGTTAGGGCTTCGCCAACAGGCACCTACGAAACGTTTATAAAAAGTGTGTGTCTAAAATATCCATAACGAAAACAGTAAGTAAACTATATCGTTCGGTTAGTTTTGTTGTTGCATTCATCGATTATATTTTTATTTGCCATTGTAATAGTGAAAAATTAATTTCTAATCGGCAACATAGCTGCCTACCTGAAAACTAAAGTTATAAAACCCTTGAGCAACTGTTAATATGTCACTCATCGTGTAGAGAAAATATTAATTTAAAAAATGTCGTCCAATTAATGTATAGAAAGCTTATAAGTGTGGTATGACAGAAAGCATATTGATACGCCCTCACCTTCCGTTCATCATGATTATCCCGAGGGCCAAAGTGATCGGGATTTGTTGCGGCTGCGAGACATGCATGAAAGGCTGCCTCGAGGTCATCTACGAGAGTGTTTGACATCTTTGGAATCAATAACTACTTTCACCTATTGTAATGAAAAACACGACGTTAGCCTAAATCATTTAGAACAATTGTTAATTAATTACATGGCTTAATCATCTTCCTCTTTTAAATCTTGGCTTCTGGGCAGCTTTTTGAAGCTTTATGAAAGAGCTTCTTAGTCTCGCTGCTGATGTATGAAAGAATACTCCTCGTGCAGTACGTGCAAGCTAAATGCAGTAACATGCTTTGAAAGAATTAAGGCTACGACGATAAATGGCATTCTTATACAAGGTTGCTTTAGCTTTATCTTTTATTTTTCGAGTGATCAAATTATTTTTAATAGCATGTAATACTAACAGTTTTGCTAAGCAAAGAAGGAAGAGCATCACTATGAAGTTGACCTTGCTCAATAAAAACTAATGATAATTATGCACCTGATTTCTACACAAACGAAATAAATTTTACGAAGCTTTCCACACGGTTAGTAAATAATGAGTGTATTTATTGGCGTCGTACTTCATATAAAGCAACTAATAACCTCAAGCAATTGTTCACTTAATCGTTTATTTAATGTATCTAATCAATAAGCACATTAGCACAGTATTCTCTAGGTGCACTAGCCAAAAGTGCGATATTTTACCAATTTACAACAACAGCACGAGCAAGAAGCAGCAGCAGCAGCAGCACCAGTTCTCAATTAGTACTCAAATAAATCATAGCGTGTTACAACGCTAAAAAACGAATCATTGCTAATTCTCCTTCGAACTTCACAAAAGCTGCTAGAAAACCGATAACAGGAGCGCAACACGAATCGCTTCCACTCGATGAGCGAATGTTTACATTCGCAACTGAATCCGACACATAAGCAAAACTACCATCGGTGTCGATTTTGACACCACGTACACACACGTGGCCGTATAATGCCAGCCAAAATGTATTTATCTGTGACGACATTCGTAGGGGCTTAGTCGCTTTCTCTCGCTGTTCGCTACTCGCCTCCATACAGGGTTTCCACAACAAACGGGGCTTTAGAGAGTTTTTTTTTTTGCTTGACGCACCTCGATTTGCTTTCGTGATGTAGTTTGCTTTTTGTTAACGCATCACTCGGCATGGTACTTTAGACTAGTTGATGTGAGTAGCGTTTTTGTATATTATTTCCACTGATCACCGTATCTATGTTTCCTAAACAGACTAACATGACGAACAAGTGGAGGGGCAAAAGAAAATTAACACACAACAGATAAGATTACGCTTTATCGTATAGCCTGTTGTTTTTGCACTGCATAAGCTCAAACGTTTGCTTTTTTTCCATTTTATTACATAATCCTGATGGAAAATAGCCAAGTTTCAGCTGGTAGATTTTAAGGCTTCTCACGTACCTCTGCGCATGGTTTGGATGATCAGACGAATTTCAAAATGTCATTCTCTTTTTCGTAAGCGAATGTGAATATTTTCAGAATATACCATTTGTAGAGAAAACGCTAGGTAGACATCTTCCATTCAGTGGCTCGTCTCTATCCTATTGACGTTCTGTTACTGCAACGTCGCTGAAAATATACTCAAGCGCATTTTTCTATTAGTGTTTATGACATCTACTAAATGCTTTAAACCCGTTATTTTTAATAGATGCTTAAGTGGAATTCTTCTACGATTGCTAAATACAATTCTTCGTCTCTTTCTTGTAAATTATAATCAAAAATATATATATATATAACAGATAATAATGACACGTATTCACAAAATGAATTGATTGCAATTTTGTTTGCATTTATTATTTCGAATTACGTCAGTTTGTAATTGTTGTTGCTGTCGGTTGGTTTGTTGAACTTTAAATGCTACCTACTCACACTGTTCACAGCTTTTCCGTCTCCGATCGTTATTTATTATTCAGCATAATAGCAATAATAATAGAAGTAATAATAGTTTTTCGACTATTAATATAATCGATTTTAATAATAATTAATTAATTATAATAATGCTTATTACAATAATAATAATAATATTTATAATATTCATAATTACACAGATTTACATGACAGAGTTACGCGTGCTGCGCTATACGCCCGTCTTCTTCCTTTTCTTTATCGTTATTGTTCTCATTTATTATAATATATTCATCATCATCACCGACCCCATAGGTATAGTCGTGTGTTATGATTCGCTTCCTCTAACGTTCTGTCATTTTCCCTCGCGACCCCCCTCCCCTCTCTCGTTTTCAAACTACTCATCGATCTAACCACATTCGATATCGTCATTTTGCCATGTTTTTTTTTTATCATTGATCGCATCATTCTTGCGTCTTTCCGGCTCTGGCTCCCGCTTGATATATATATATATATATATATATATATATATACGCTCCACATGTCATCTGTCTCCACGTAGCCTTGTGAATGTTCGCTCTCTTTCCTCTCTCTCCCCCTCTCCCTCTCTCTTTTTCCCTTGACAACTTTCATTTGCTACGAACGAATTTCCATCTATCTATCTATCCTGTCCTTGTTCCTGCCCTAACATAGTGTTTGATGTATGTGGACCTGGTAAATTCTTGCGCTTCTAGGACGACATTAATCTGACCACCAAGATTTGTTGCTGTTGCCGAGACGCCCGTACGAAAATATGTGCGCGGCCACCACTGAACCATCTTTAAGACTTTTGCTGAAAACGTTCGATTCTTTCTGCGCTCGATTTGTTGACGGCTCAGCCCACACATACAAATCCTTTGGTGGGATGAGTCAGTGACTTTTATTATCTACTTCATAAATCTATCAACTTCTACTATGTCATTCGTTGTTTCTGTTTTTTGGCCATTTTTGCATCTTTGCATCGGTTTCTCAGTCCTATCGCGACATCTCGGCATACGATTGGTCATTTTTGGCTATAAACATGAGTGGGTTCGAGTGCGCTTAGCAAAGCCGAAATTCGAAATTAGTGGTCAAATCATGCACGTTCCAGTCTGTTGCTATATCTGCTTTCTGATTCGGGTTTCTTGCAACGTTCGGCACACGGGATACAACCAATTTTTCATAGGGAGGACCTGGTTGTTACACTTCCAGCATAGATCATTAATAGTATTTTCTTTTTAGCATTAGTTGTTATCATCAACATTGTCGTTATCGTCTTTATATAATTATTCTTTTTCACGTTTATCTTAATTGTAATCTTATCGTAATATTTATAATATTGGTACTAATAATCATCTTCGTCATCATATCAATAGTTGTTTATCTTTGTTGTTTGTGTGTCTGTGTGTATCTTGTTTTGTTCTATGTTTATCTCTATAGTTATAATCGTTACTCTATTACAATACACCATTACTGCATATTCCGACGACTTTTGCATCAGGGTCGCCCACTGGCGGCTTCGGCGGCGTTACGGGTACGCTTTGGCTGTTATATTCATCATCCATTTTTATCATTGTTATACTATATTATTTCCCTCCTCCTCCTCCTCCTCCTTCTCGTTTTCCATTTTGCTGTAGTTCGACATCAGTTATATAATTAATATAATCATCGACATCATCACTATTATCCTTATATAGTTATTTTTCGGGTGAGTTTGTTATTTTCTGTTTCCCTAGTCTAAATAACGCTCCTGTTTTTGTGCATCTGGATTTATGGTTGTTGACTTGTGTGTTTGCCCTTATCACCCCCTAATGCTTGCTACTAATGTTTTAGCTTTGTCCTCTGTGTTTTTTTCTTTGTGTTCAGTTCAGTATCATAGAGCTGGGTTCGATTCGTGTATTTTGTCAATTACGATCTTTTTTTTTTTTTACTAGTTGTTGTACCTCGTCAAGTCTGTGTCATAGACGATAACGGTATCAATAGTTGTCGTCGTCTTCGCTTTTTCTGATACACTAAATAATAATCAATCAATCAACCAACAACAAGAAAAGAGGTCTTGCTTTCAAGATGACTAGATTATTTGCCGCTACGCTTATTACTATTATCATCGTTTTTTACCATTCTAGTTTGCAGTGAGTTTTTTCAGTGTGTCGCACTCTGCCTTTTCATCTGTTTCATGTTAGCTTCGTCCGGTTCTATTGTGCTTTCTTGACATATGTTGTACTCACGTGAGTACGTGGCTATTTATGATAATCCCCATAGGTAACTATAATATTAGCATTACTGCCCATAGTATATTATATCTATGTGCATTTACGATCATATTTCTTCTATCTTCCTCGTTATGTTAGTATTATTATTATTATTATGATCAGCGTCATTGTTCTGCGATTCGATCAAATTTTCTAATTACCCTCTTTTTCGTTCCGCTTTTGGCGTCGTCACTGTTTCACGTCAGTGCTTTGTGTGTGTCGATCTGATGTCGATGTGTTTATTTATATGGCTTGCCGATCATTTTGTTACTTATGCCCATCCCATCGTCTGTTTTGTATCTAGTTTAGCGTTTTCTTTTACTCGTCTCGATCAATATCAGTGATCAACTGTTTTGTTGCAGTACTTGTTGTCTGTTTTTGTCGTTAATCGTAATAATAATAATAATAATAATAATAATAAAATAAAAATCAGCATCATCATTATCAGTAATTAGCAGTATCTAAGTGCATATACCTTGTCTTGTACACGGAAAGGGCGAAGAGGTTTACGCGATATTGGCCAACAGAAACAGCATTAGTTCGTGCCGACACCTAACACACCTGCCCACATGTATAGTCTCTATTTATTTGTATAGTGGTTTCCCTGGCCAGCGACGACAGTGCACGTCTGTGATATATATATATACATGTATATATCAAAGTACCATGTCAATGCCTAAATGCACTGGAGAAGATCGGCCAATGCTGTCTTGTACACACCACTAGCCAAAAGCAGGTCTTTCCTTGCCAAACCAACAAATGAAAGCGAACTGGGTTAGGTGATTGCGAAATATATCTTAGGAGTTGGGTTTTGAAGAAGATGAAATGAGTTTGGCGCCAAAAGATGCCACCCAATAGGGCTGTTCGTTGCGGGCAGCAGTCAGTTATAGCGAACGATAAATTGGACTATTTATGTCGGCCTCTATTCGTACATTATGAAATCTTATCCGTGTTTGTATGTTATACTGTTGGTTCGTAGGTGTCCACACGAATTTGCTTAACGTAGGCCGTTATCGTCTTCACCCCTGGCGGACCGACAGATGGTCTTATCGCGACAAATGGAACGCATCGGCATAGCGATTCTTACCATTACGACCTGTAACATCCAACAACGATGCCAATAACAATTGTAGAACGAAACTCGTATTGAAACCATGTCTGGCGTTACGTCTGCTTTACGTAAAGCGTTTAACGCTCGAACTGGCGGTCGGCTGAAGAAGGACATTTGTTTTTTTATTTTACGGTAAAGGGACAACGCCTAAAAATCGCTCTGCCCATGAATACCTGTGTCGCTGATAAGAATAACTACCAGCCCGTCTGGCACTACTCGAACGACGTCAAATTGCGTACAATGCTACACAATCTCTACAGCGTGACGCCAATTCGCTATACAATAATAATGTTAACATTAGCAGTAATAATTCTTCTATTTTGCACTCTTCGTCAGCATCGGTTATCCTTATTTTTTTATTTTCTGTTTGTCTCTTTCGATTTCTTTCTTTTCATAATGTGTAATACCTTTAGCATAGAAATTATTTGCTGACGATACATTGTGGATGGTTTTCTTTTGTATGTCTGTCTCTTCATTTGTTTTATTACTCGTCAGCGTATGCACAAAGGTCTCGGTAAAGGGAGACCACTCAGTTTGTTGCGGCAAAACTGCAGAGATCAGTTTCTATCCTAACGGATAATAATAATAATAATATTTGCAATCGCAATACTTACTTGAATAATCACCTTGATATAATAATAATAGCGTACTCTTATTATCAGTAATAGTAACATTGGTTGTTTGGTTTGCTTGTTGGGTGTGTGATTATTATTAAAAGTAGACCCGACGCCACCTGCCAACCAGGATGGCCAGCCCTGCGGAAGCGGATAGGGAAGGCGGCCAGTTAGGTACAGTCATTACATCGTCTATACGACGCGACCTTGTCTAATCGAGTCGTTGCTCCTTCGTCGCCTGAATTACACTGGATTGGTCACGTGGCTACTTAAAGATTTCTCATCGATAGCAATCAATCAGTCACTGATCATCATCATCATCATCATCATCATCATCATCATCTACTTTAGTTCAGCAGTTTGTTTACTTCTGTCAATACGGTTTTTGTTATTGTTTCATATATATATATATATATATATATATATATATATATATATATATATACTGTTTTTGTGATGCCAGAGGATACATACATCACCGTACACACACTTACCGCACCCGCAAACTGCTGGGGCACAATCATACCACTTCATTCTACTAATAGCTTCTAACTTTCGCTCAGTGTCGTTTTCGCTCTTACTTCAGTTGTTTCCTCATTCTCTCACACAGTTCAAACTCAGTTTTGTTGTATTATTCATTGTTTAGTTAAAAATGCATATAATCACGTTGTGTGTTGTCAGCGAAGGTGCTAAAACAACACCGCCCACCAGTATGGCTTATACATTTATATTAGAAAGTAAGTATTGGATAGACAGGCTGGGCTCGAAATACGACCCGCACTTTTCTTTTTCAGGTTCCCATTTTCCGTGTGGCAGGCAGCTGACAAGCAGAGGACATCCGGTGATTGGAGGCGATCAACGGTCAGCGACTCGGTCTTTGTTTGGGTTCGCCAGTCACTTGAAATAAACTTACGCAGTGGAATTTATAGTGGAGGGACGACCACAACTTGTCTGTAAATGAGTTCACAGGATACTAAGTTTTTTCCTGCTGAATAAATACAATTTTTTGGCTTAATGTCGCCATCGCTTCGATCGCCGCTCCTTTGAAGCAAATATCAATTTAAATGACGTTTAGCTCCCTGTTTGTCTCTATTCGACCTCGTCACCAAGTCATCATTCGGTCAATATTGTCGTTGACAATTAGTTCCTTTTCAAAGCTTCCGCTGTTAACCCAAGACGTAGCTGAAGGCAAGGTCGCGTATTGCTTCGCACCTCTGCATCGTTATGGCTTTGGTTTAGAGATCATAAGTGATCAGTTTCATCATTAACTTCCTTACGAATGTCATTATCGTTATCACCGTCAACGGAGATCATTTTTCCTTTGCAAATTTCTTAGAAACCAAATGCGGTCCGGTCCGGTTCGGTTCTTCCTGTCATTTGCACGCTGTACTTGTCAACTACACCTAGCGGTACTATGCTATCGGTCAGCATCACTCTTCTTTGTAAGTTCATCATCATCTTCTTCTTATTATTATTAGTTATTGTTATTGTGTATCATTATTACCTTTATCGCCATCATCATTATCAGTTTCATCATCATTGGCAATGATAGCAAACAACATCCTCTAGACTATTATGAAGTAGTGATACTGAATCGATCGCTGTCTAGACCCAGACGGAGCACCGCCTAATGCGTGGGAACGTCTGTCGTCGCTCCCTGGGACCATAAACATTTCGTTTCTTCTTTTTTCTTACTGCGCCTCTGAATCGGTTTTTTTTTCCGCTTGTGCTGTAACTGCTGCCACTGCCGTCACTGTTTTTGTATATCTTTTACGACCCAACAAATGACAACAGCCAGCTAGCGATCCCACAGGCTGTTCTGCATATACTTGCCCTCGCGCCCCAATATCTTTGCTTCATCGGCTAAATAAACATTCATTGACCATTATCATCACCGTCATTATCATCAGTTATCACCATGATAAATCTGTCCCTTAATATGAAGATTATAAATCAAGGTCAAGACAAGGAAACTATTGTTCCTGTTATTTTACTTTCTTCATCGTATCATCGCTGATAGATCGATCATTCACAGATCTCACCGTCAACCCCGAGACCGACTTTTCAACCATCATATATTTTCCTTCATGGATGGTCTATACTCGTCAACTCGTTAACATCTGGCACCGCTGCCATCTAACTGGATGCTAATGTCATCGCATATGTCTGCACAATGGCCCTGACGACAGCGGCGGACATGATCGCGACATAAGACCAAGAGTGCTCCGAGCGCCTCTCAATATCACTGGGGTATAAGAGGCTGACTGAGGGCGCAACACACTGGGAGCGAATACGATTGCAACAGCTGTAACCACATCGAATATAATGGACAGGGAAGGAAGACAAGTTCGAGGACTCCACTTCATGTTGGGCGGCAACGAACCACAGACAAGGTGTAAGATAAATAGAATACACAGGCGACTGTAATATGTAGGTTCGACGTCACGTCCTAAACATAAAGGCGGATTCGGCTAAGCCGATATACCTCGTCCCGTCGATGCGCGGCTCCCTCAGAACGCGATCCTGTAGTTCAAAAATTCGACCACTTAAAGTGGCGCATACAATGTGTTAAAAGAAAATCTCATAAGAACATACAAGGACGCACTTATATCTTCATGTTCGCTTTATATATATATATATATTCTTCCCTTCCTTTGTCGTTACTGTTGTGATGATCGAAATCGCAGGACAACGCATCATCTACCGTTTGCTTTCTGCAATTGCTCAGTGTGCGTGAAAAACATTCATTCATCATGTCGTTTGTAGGTAGATCCTGGCGGCTTCAGACGAAGGTGACATGGTCTAGAACACGTTGGACTTTGTTGCTGATTTGGGAACGGTAGCGGGGAGTTGGCAACTCGCTGTTGTTAATAGCGGGAGGCAACTCAGTCCCTGTCGCGTATCTTGTTGAAGTCGTTGAAGAAGTTGTTGACGTAGTTGTCGAAGTCGTCGAGGTTGAACGACGGTGATCACGCGGAATGCTCTATCTTCACGTCTCGAGCCATAAGAGCCTGCAGAAGAGGCTTGAAGTTCTCCTGCTCCTGAAGGAGGGCCTCACTGAAACAACAATAACCACAAAACAAGGCACAAAACAGAGAAAACTACAGAGTTTAATCTACAAACCCAGTTTTCACAGGGAGGCATAGCTAAATCCCTAATACAAAGGACTATTATTAGACCATTAGTGATAGAGTCGAAAGGATCAGGTCATGGAAAGGAAGCTATGGCGGCAATTAAAGTTAGGCTTGGATCTTCAGGAGCGAACATCATAACGAGAATTTTGTATAACGCATTTATGTGCAACCACGGGGATACGAGATTTCTACGGTATCCTACAAGGACAGTGTACAGTCATCATTCTAATCGTATGACGCATTCAACGAAAATTGTTGACGTGAGTCATGAGCAAATGTATCAGGTAGCCAACGAAATGAAAATCTACGTTCTGCTACTTATCCTATGCAGAAAACATAATAGCATTGATTGAAGCAGTTCTATGAGTGAAATTGCTTCGCATTACGTTTCTAAATCGTGTGTATATATATATATATATATATATATATATATATATATATGACACTGCTGTCTAACACAGTAAAGAAAAATGACATTCACAAGACTATAATATCATGCATACAGGCAACAGTACACTAAAATCTATGTACATCTGTGCAAAAGTATGCTTATTTCTAATGCAGTTGTAGAATACATGTACTTATTGCTTTGACTGCCACCGTTATTTAAAAGCAACAAGATTTTTAGTTGGTTAGGGACTGTGACATAGATCTGCCTCAGGAGGAGGATCAACTGAATAGAGTCAACGGAAAACGAAATAAGATCATATTTATTAATAGATATAGTAACATTTTGACTGTGGAATTAGCATTGAACGCAGGATCGTAGGGTAGAAGTAAGTATACAACAAATGAGATCGATTAGTGAAAGTTGCGGGTAAAAGAGGGAAAAAGTACACTATACTTAAAGGAAAAATGACACGGAACAGGGAAAATTATTAGCATCGAAACTGAAATTAGCTTAAAATAGATCAGAGAGAGAAAGAGAGCGAGAGAAGCCGTCCTGAGAGGGACTTACACAGATCTAAGTGGTCCGAAGGTGATACAGAGGTGTGGAGTGGAAGTCTTCTACAATCAGGGTGGTTGTAGTCGTGATGTGCCCATATATTTGTTTGTCTAGTTGAATAACTGTTTTTATTGTTATTATATTGTGGATAGGTGTTATGGGGTGTTTTTTTTGCGGCTTTCATTGTATCGTTCGTGCAAGAGTCGGGGATTTAGTGATTGACCGACTAATGCGTTCGTTGGAGATTGAAGATATGGAATATAACGTATGCCTCTTCGCAAGATCAACAAACAACTTCCGTATTATATGCATCCACTAATAGCTCAGGATTTGAGGTCCGTAGTTCGGTAATTAACAACCTTTGTTTTTTTTTTGTGTGCGTTTAAGTATATACCCTCTGGCTGGATTTTACATATTTGTTATTCTGTCCTCTGCCACATCGCAAGTGTCATAGTTGTATACACTATCCCTACTTGTATTGGGCCATATCAAGATATAATAACAACAGTTAAACTATTCACATTCAGCATCTCGTTTAGTTACTGTTACTTTCTGCCTGTTCTGGGGAGATCAATGTGGCGATTAGTTTGTATCTTGTACCCGTGTACCGAAAGATAGCTATGCTACTATGCATGAGATCGGAAATATGTATAAGATAAGATATTTCTTCACTATGTACATTAGGACCTTATTGTCCATTTATATA